ACTTACGTTTTCGCTATTTGCGCCATGTTCATTATTATCAAAATCCTCCGGAGATAAGATATCATATGACGAGACGGAATCGTTGTCGCTGCTGTCATCATCTTCGTTCAAGTTATCGTTATTGGTCTTAGTCACCTTATCAGTACCATTCTCGTCCCTCCCGAATGCAGATTCTTCGTCCATGTCAACACGCCTAACTCACAGAACTGCAAAACATCGTGTGTTAGGTTTAGTACAATGCATCATGCCCAAAGCAACGCTAGTTCTGTAAATCATGCCCTAGTCCGTAGAGGAGGCGCTGCGGCGGGAGGTTTTGATGAACCCTAAACCCTAAATCCGTACATGCATGAACTAGCCCTCACTTCTATCCAGCGGCGAGTCTACTAGACAGGCTTAAACAGGCTCAAGCCTACCCTCCAGAAAAACAATTTTTTTAGTACTGCTATTACTACTTTCATCCCAGCTCATTACTACATCTATTATCCAGTAGAAAACACACAACACCACGCATGCGCAGTTACGGGCAGCACAAACGAATGACCAGCCTGCATCAACTGTGTAATTACTCGTTCATGTACTGTAAACGAATTTAGTGCCCAGCGCAACTTATTTGCAAAAAAAGAAAAATAAAAAAATGAGTTTGCATGCATGTATTCCTCACGCGAAACCTGTATCTATCCCGCTAGGTTTAGATGACGGGCATGACAAACCTTGGCCTGCGGTGTAGACGTCGACGACGTTCGACGACAGTGCTGCGGAGGCGGCGTCAGACGTCGGGCCCTTCACGTCCCCGGCGTACAACGACGATGGTTAGATGTGGCGACGGACGACGTTGCGACGGCGAGGGCGGTGTCGGACGGGGTTCGGGCGGTGAGGGCAGCGTCAGACGTCGGGCCCTTCACGTCCGCGTCGTCGGACGACGGTGAGATGCGGCGACGGGCGACGTTGGGACGGTGAGATGCGGCGACGGGTGAAGTTGGGACGGTGAGATGCGGCGACGGGGGCGGCGGCGGGCGACGTCCAGACGCCGAGGGCGGCGACGGGCGACGTTGGGACGGCGAGGGTGGCCTCGCACGGGGTTCGGACGGCGGCGATCCGCTGCGGCGGCGGTCGCCAACTCTGGAAATACCGTGATTAGTGGGCGGGCGACTAGATGGGCGGGCGAGAAGATGGGGGCGGGCCCAGATCATGGGTACTTTTTTTTTCATGCACGCGGTATACGTATGCCCGGCAGAGCTGTACAATACGAGGTGGGCATACGTTTCTTTCGTATGCCCATTCTGCCCTTCTACGTTTTGTTGGGGGGGGGGTCTACCGAAGCAAGGCCCTATCTTTTAAAGCATCTGACTAAGCCACGGAAACGTGCATGCAGAAAATTGCTTGCAGAAATTGCGGTAACAGCTATATATATAATTTAATTAACCTAAAATCGAAAAAGTGCATATGCACTAATAAGAGGAAACGAGCAGTCGGTCTTACACACGCATGCATGTAGTTGTGTGGTCTAAATTTTGTCTTTATTCGTGACGTGGCATGTACTACTCGGATGGTCACATGGACAAGACGCCGCATTATTTCATGGATGCGCATGTCCATTTATTCGGGTTTTCAAATTTTTAAAAAGTCATATCATTTAAACCGTGCTTCGGAATTTAGACCCGTTTTCACTATTGGAATCCTCACGACGAGATCTTTTAAACTAGATCCCGCATGGGTATGTTTTGATAAAAAAAAATTGATGCCAACTTTGATGCTATATTGTGCAACTCTATTACTGTATTGTGCAACTTTAGTACTACATCGTGCAACTTTTTCCCAAAACTAATGTTTTGAACTGCACCTTTGTATGAGGTTACAACCTAGCAACCACGACAACTTTGATATGCAACTAGTCTATTGCCTTGATGAAAGTCGATGTGCAACCTCCTCTTGTAATGTAGTCTAGTTACACACACTTTGATGTTTAGTTGGCTTGTAATGTAGTCCAGTTGCACACGCATTGATGTTTCATTGACAGGACACTAGTTGCACACACATATGCTCAGTTGGCACGGCAATTTAGTCTAGTTGCACACAATTGATGTTTAGTTGACAGGACTTTTTGGCACACACATATATGCTCAATGGGCGCGACAATTTGGTCTAGTTGCACACACATTGATATTTAGTTGGCAGGACTTTTTGGCACACACACATGCTCAGTTGGCGCGGTAATCTAGTCTAGTTGCATACACATTGATCTTTAGTTGGTAGGAAGACTAGTTCGTCGAAACATCCCCATGCGGGATCTAGTTTCGAAGAGCACGTCGCGAGGATTACAGCGGTGAAAATGGATCTTAATTCTAACACGCGGATTGAAAGTTATGCTTTTTTTAGTTTTTGAAACCACAAATAAAATACACCAAAGAATAAAACGCATGCACCGAAGGGATGGCTGTGCAGACATTTAAGGACCAGGTAAAAAGCTTTTTTTAATTAGATAGTTAATTAGGAAGGGGACAAAAAAATTCTTAAAATAGCCAGCCGCTTGCGAGCAGCAATGAGCGCCCAGCCGCCAGCTAGACCGGTCCTTTAATTAATGCTTCCAGAAGTCATGACTTCCTTCCGCCTAATCAATATAGAATTTAGTTAATGCTTCCAGAAATTTCATATAATACTCAAATGTTTTTCCTTGGTAAATCATGATTTCTTCCTCTTTTGTTTTTGTTTTCGGTAAGTCATGATTGCCTGAAAATAGACATATACTCCATCGGTCCCGCGTTAGCTGGCTCAGATTTTAATAAATAAGGATGTATCTAGACACGTTTAAGTGTTGGATACATTTCTATCTCAATAAATCTAGATCTACTAATTTGGAGCGAAGGTTGTACAAAATATTAATGTTGTTCAGAAATAACAGATTTGCTTCCACCAAACAACTAAAATAATTTTCCTATAGCACTAAAGTGGCATGGGCACTTAAATTTTGGCGAACGCTCGGTGGGTGAACACCGACGTGCTCGATCATTGCAATGTGAGACTAATACGTCTCCAACATAACTATAATTTTTATTGTTCCATGTTATTATAGTATCAATCTTGGATGCTTTATATATATTTAGAAGCAACTTTACGTAATTTTTTGGGACTAACCTACTAACTTAGTTCCCAGTACCAGTTGTTGTTTTTCTTTTTTTGATTATGGAGAATATGAGTACCACATGAAGTCCAAATGCCACAATAATTTTTGGAGATTTTTTTATGGGAATAAGAGACCCTGGAAGCTTCGGGGAGGAAAGAGAAGACAAACGAGTGGTACCTGTGAGTATTTTATGTGTTGATTACACGTTTGTAGTTAATGCATGGGAGAACTATTTGTGAAAGATTGTTATGTTCAGATTGTTCTTTGTATATTCATACCTATGGATCATTATACATATGATGTCATGCGAGTCGATCCATTAGTTCTTGAGGACATGCGAAAAGTCTTATTGATAGTAGTCATGTGAAGTAGATTACCATTCAATGTTTCAATTATATTTTGTGGTTTTCTTCCTCTAGTGGTGTTATGAGAACATTGATTGCATGACACTTTCCAATATTGAGGCGCAGGGGAAGGAATTGTGTAATCGGTTTGTTGATTATGGGTTGCTGGAGTGATAGCAACCCAAACCCCAGTTTATCAATTGTTATGTGAGGGGTTGTTTTGGATCCGGTTGTTCAATGTTACCTTAAATTTATCTTGTTTACTTCAAATGAAACGGTGAATCAAATGACAGGCCGATGGTTCCACATGAATTAAATAAACTTTGAATGTAGTATATAATACACACGAACAAAACCCTTTACCCACGGTAAAACATCACTTCAACCAATGTGGTTGGTGGTCCTTATCACTATGTCGCTAAGCTGCCCGAGTGACGCGTCACTTTTTTCCAGATTAAGCATGGGCCCATGCTCGGGTCTGGTAAACACTTCTTTCATTCATCGCTTAGAAAGTACCAGCAGATTGTGCTTTGTGGAGACCCCGGAATGACACCATCCATGAGCGTAATGCAAGGTGTTGACCTGTCAGTTCTCATTTCATAGACCATGCCCCAATCCCTACCTCTCCCACCGATCCAGTACACACAATCACCCTTGAGCCCGGAACATATTCGGCATATAGCGACACTACATTATTCCTTCCAACAAAAACGGAGTGGCCCCTTATGTCGGCCACAACGTCCTAACATGCTCGGCGCTGGCGGTCATACCTCAGAACAAATATTTCATCATGTTCTACACGGCAACGACCCCCTCCTGGCAACGGCAAACTAACAGTGCAGGTTGCATTCCTCCAGATTTGGTATATGTTACCATCGCAGGACACAAGGTCATTAGCACTAGTGAAAGTCGAGATTGTATTATATGGTGCGGCGAACTGGTGGCGGCGTTGAACAGTAGGCTGCTTCCCACATATGACAACAATGTCTCTATAGTGGCCGACGCATTTAGAACTGGTCATTTCCGGTGCATCTAGATGATCCGCTTGTTATGCACTACATGATGTGCTAATGTGTGGCTCTCGACGATGACAGGTTCCCTACGGTGGCGCTTCATCAAGCGGAGCACGTGGACATCTCCTAAATGAGTGAGGCAATAGACCATTCCATTTCTGTGGTAGAGGAGGTCAGCGATCTAGTCTCCATTGGCGAGGCCGATGGGGTCGAGGACGGACCACCTCCTTGCCCAGCGGTGACGTAGGCAATCCTATTGATGTCACATATCATGGCGACCAGGAATTCGTTAGTGGTAGGGTTAGGTGCAAAGACCATCTTAGAGAAAAGGCAGCTGCCATAGATCAGCGGGGGTAGGAGGATCTCAGCAGCCATGACGGGGTGGCAGAGGCTGAGTAGACTATGACCATCGTCAATGCAGATAGAGAGGGCAATCCATCCGCCACGGCAGCCAAGACAGGTCCTAACTGAGGGGATTGTGGTGAGCTTAAAGGAGCGGCATGCGGCGGGGCAGAGCTTGCCTCAAGGGATGGGGTTGAGCCTGAAGGAGCGACGCGTGAGGATTGAGGGTACAGTGGTACGACGCTTGATGGCGGTGGTGATGTAGCGCTTGGCGGGGTCATTGTTGTGGTCCACGAGCAGCGATGACAACGGCGGCGTGAGCGCTGAACGCCATGTCAGGCAAGTTCCTTGCGCACTCGCGTAGCACTTGAGGTCGTCAAGTCTATCGGCGCTGCAGCAGACAAGCTCGGGCGGCAAGTTTGCCCAGGCCCGGCACGACAACATGGCGGGGAAATGATTTTGGATAGGTTGGGGAATTTCTTAATGAAAAACGAGGGGCTTTTGCTCACACAAAGAAAGGAAGAAAGAAATAAACAACTGATTGAGCCATGGAAATGTGCGTGCAGAAAATTGCTTGCAGAACTTGCAAGATGTATATATAATTTAATTAGTTCTTCCAGAAGTGGTGATTTCCTTCCGCCAAATCAATACAAAATTTAATTAGTGCTTCCAGAAATTACGTAAAATACTCAAATGTTTTTCCTTGTTAAATCGTGATTTTTTTACTCTTTTTTTTGTTGTTGTTTTTGGTAAGTAGTGATTGCTTGAAAATAGACATATAATCCATCGGTCCCACGTTAGCTAGCTAAGATTTTACTAAAAAATGTTGTATCTAGACACATTTTAGTGTTGGATACATCTGCATGTAGACAAATCTAGATCAACTAATTTGGAGTGAAGGTTGTACAAAATAGTAATATTGTTTAGAAATCACAGATTTGCTTCCAACAAACAACTAATATATTTTCCTATAGCACTAAAGTGGCATGGACACTTAAATTTTGGCCAACACTCGGTGTGTGAATACCGACGCGCTCGATCGTTGCAATGTTAGACTAATACATCTCCAATGTATCTATAATTTTTTATTGTTCCATGTTATTATAGTATCCACCTTGGATGTTTTATATACATTTACAAGCAACTTTTTATCATTTTTTGGACTAACCTACTAACTTAGTGCCCAATACCAGTTGCTGTTTTTTCTTGTTCTTGACTTTGCAGAATATGAGTATCAAACGAAGTCCAAATGCCACGATACTTTTTGGAGATATTTTTCTGGCAATAAGAGACCCTGAAAGCTTCGGGGAGAAACGAGAAGACAAAGGAGTGGCCGACTAGCTAGGCACCAGGGCACGTCAGGGGCCTGGGACGCGCCCTGGTACATAATGGAGCCCACGAGCCGATGTTTGACCTAACTCTGCCTCTATAAATACTCTAAAATCATAAAACCTACCGGGGAGTCCACGAAATACTTTTTTGCCGCCGCAAGCCTTTTTTCTCACGAGATCCCATCCCGGGACCCTTTCTGGCACTCTGCCGGAGGGTGAAATGATCACAAAGGGGTTCTTCATCATCCTTGCTGCCCCTTCGATAATGCATGAGTAGTTTACCATGGACCTATGGATCCATAGATAGTAGCTAGATGTCTTCTTCTCTCGTTTTGATTCTCAATACAATGTTCTCCTTAGTATTCTTCGAGATCTATTTGATGTAATGACTTTTTGTGGCGTGTTTATTGGCATCCGATGAATTGTGAGTTTATGATCAAATCTATACATGAATATTATTTGAGTTTTCTCTGAACTCTTTTATGCATGATTAATATAGCTTCATATTTCTTCTCCAATTTATTGTTTGGTTTGGCCAATTAAATTGATTTATCTTGCCATGGGAAGAGGTGCTTTGTAACGGGTTCAATCTTGTGGTGCTCAATCCCAATGATAGAAAGGGACATGACACGTATGTATCGTTGCTATTAAGGGTAACAAAATGGGGTTTAGTCATACATGAGTTTATCTAGTCTACATCATGTCATCTTCCTTAATGCATTACTCTGTTTTTCCAAGAACTTAATACACTATACGCATGTTGGATAGCGGTCGATGTGTGGAGTAATAGTAGTAGATGCAGGCAGGAGTCGGTCTATTAATTTTGGACGTGATGCCTATGTATGATCATTGCCCCGGGTCTATCTTTTATCATATATTAAAACTAAAAATACCTTGTTGCAGTTTTCTTTAACATATTTTATTTTGTATTTTTGTACAATCTATCTATCAAAAACTATACAATTTATCTTGCTTGTAACCATTGAGGGTTTGACAACCCCTCTACGTGTTGGGTTGCAAGAATTTGTTGTTTGTGTGCATGTGTTGTTTACATACTGTTTCTTGGTTCTCCTACTGGATTGATAAGCTTGGTTATATAGATGAGGGAAATGATGGAAATATGCCCTAGAGTCTATAATAAAATTGTTATTATTATATTTCCTTATTCATGATAAATGTTTATTATTCATGCTAGAATTGTATTGACCGGAAACTTAAATACATGTGTGGATACATAAACAAATACAGTGTCCCTAGTGAGCCTCTACTAGACTAGCTCATTGATCAAAGATGGTTAAGGTTTCTAACCATTGACATGAGTTGTCACTTGATATTGGGATCACATCATTAGGAGAATGATGTGATGGACAAGACCCATCCGTTAACTTATCATATGATCGTTAAGTTTGTTGCTACTGCTTTCTTAATGTCAAATACATATTCCTTCGACCATGAGATCATGCAACTCCCGGATACCGGAGCAATACCTTGTGTGCTATCAAATGTTACAATGCAACTCGGTGATTATAAAGTTGTTCTACAGATATCTCCAAAGGTGTCTAATAAGTTGGCGTGAATCGAGATTGGGATTTATCACTCCGTATGACAGAGAGGTATCTCTGGGCCCTCTCGGTAATACAACATCACAAGAAGCTTGCAAGCAAAGTGACTGATGACCCACAAGTATAGGGGATCTATCGTAGTCCTTTTGATAAGTAAGAGTGTCAAACCCAACGAGGAGCAGAAGGAAATGACAAGCGGTTTTCAGTAAGGTATTCTCTGCAAGCACTGAAATTATAGGTAATAGATAGTTTTGTGATAAGATAATTGGTAACGAGTAACAAGCAATGAAAGTAAATAAGGTGCAGCAAGGTGGCCCAATCCTTTTTGTAGCAAAGGACAAGCCTGGCCAATTTCTAATAATGAGAAAAACGCTCCCGAGGACACATGGGAATTATCGTCAAGCTTGTTTCATCATACTCATATGATTCACATTCGGTACTTTGATAAATTGATATGTGGGTGGACCGATGCTTGGGTACTGCCCTTACTTGGACAAGAATAACCCCTATTGAAAGCATCCACAACTACAAAAGAAGTATTAAGGTATACCTAACCACAGCATGAAACATATATATGGATCCAAATCAGCCCCTTACGAAGCAACGCATAAACTAGGGTTTAACCTTCTGTCACTCTAGCAACCCATCATCTACTTATTACTTCTCAATGCCTTCCTCTAGGCCCAAATAATGGTGAAGTGTCATGTAGTCGACGTTCACATAACACCACTAGAGGAGAGACAACATACATCTCATCAAAATATCGAACGAATACCAAATTCACATGACTACTAATAGCAAGACTTCACACATGTCCTCATGAACAAACGTAACTACTCACAAAGCATATTCATGTTCATAATCAGAGGAGTATTAATATGCATTAAGGATCTGAACATATGATCTTCCACCAAGTAAACCAATTAGCAACAACTACAAGGAGTAATCAACACTACTAGCAACCCACAGGTACCAATTTGTGGTTTTGATACAAGATTGGATACAAGAGATGAACTAGGGTTTGGAAAGGAGATGGTGCTGGTGAAGACGTTGATGGAGATTGACCCCCTCCCGATGAGAGGATCGTTGGTGATGATGATGGTGATGATTTCCCCCTCCCGGAGGGAAGTTTCCCCGGCAGAACAGCTCTGCCGGAGCCCTAGATTGGTTCCGCCAAGGTTCCTCCTCGTGGTGGCGGAGTTTCGTCTCGTGAGCTTACCTATGATTTTTTTTCCAGGATAAAAGACCTCATATAGCAGAATATGGGCACCGGGGGGGGCACCAGGGGGGCCAGGAGACAGGGGGCGCGCCCTGTAGGGGGGCACCCTCCTGGGCAGGGTGTGGGCCCCCTCAGGTACTTTCTTTGCCCAATAATTCTTATTAAATCCAAAAATGACTTTCGTGGAGTTGCGGGACTTTTGGAGCTGTGCAGAATAGATTTCAAACATTTGCTCCTTTTCCAGCCAGAATCCCAGCTGTTGGCATTCCCCCTCTTCATGGTAAACCTTGTAAAATAAGAGAGAATGGCCATAAGTGTTGTGACATAACGTGTAATAACAGCCCATAATGCAATAAATATTGATATAAACGCATAATGCAAAATGGACGTATCAACTCCCCAAAGCTTAGACCTCGCTTGTCCTCAAGCGGAAGCCGAAATCGAAAAATATGTCCACATGTTTAGAGATAGAGGTGTCGATAAAAATAAAATACAGACATGAGGGCATCATGATCATTCTTATAACAGCAACATATATAGATTTTGTCATATGATTTCTTATGCTCAAGTAACAATATATTCACAATGTCAAGTATGGAACATAAACTTCATTGGAAACGAACAAACTATAATCTTAGTCATTGAAGCAATTGTAATTTATTATAACATCAGAAAGAGTCAAGAATAGAGCTTTTCAGGAAGTCCACATACTCAACTATCATATAGTCTTCTACAATTGCTAACACTCATGCAATACTTATGGTTATGGAGTTTTAATCGGACACTGAGAAAGATAGGGGCTTATAATGTTGCCTCCCAACGTATTCACCTTTAGGTGATATCAACAATAATAGTTCATGCTAACGAACATCCAATTGGATATATATATCAGGATCTTTCTAACACGAGGTGCATGCCAAAGGATAAAATGAAAAAGGAAAAGGTGAAGATCACCTTGACTCTTGCATGAAGTAAAAGACATAAAGTAGAAGATAGGCCCTTCGCAGAGGGAAGAAGAGGTTGTCATGCGCTTTTAGGGTTGGATACACAAAATCTTAGTGCGAAAGAACGTCACTTTATATCGCCACTTGTATATGGACCTTTATTACGTAGTCCGTCGCTTCTATTGCTTCCATAACAAGCTCGTATAAAGTTTATTTTCTCCATACTAATAAGTCATGCATATTTAGAGAGCAATTTTTATTGCTTGCACCGATGACAACTTACTTGAAGGATCTTACTCAATCCATAGGTAGATATGGTGGACTCTCATGGCAAAACTGGGTTTAAGGATATTGGGAAGCAGAAGTAATATCTCTACTTGGTGCTAGG